CAAACCAAACCAATCCCCCCCCGCCCCCCAACCTGGCTGTCATCCATTTTGTGTTCTTTGCCTCTCCTTGCTAGACCTGCTAGCTGTCATTTCCTCAAGTTTTGGTTGTCCTCTACATTTGGCCTCCAGGGACCACAGAATTTACCCAGTTCCCAAACTAGCAGAGAGAGGAGAGGCTAAATTGCCCTCTGCTAAATTGCCAGCATGAGCCAAAGATAAAGACTTAAGTGAAAGCCATAGTTCCCAAAAAACTGAATGCTACCACATCTCAATTCATTTATTATACAAGTACCCAGTTACTCAGTACAACTCCTCAGAAATACACGACAGGATAAAAATCCAATTGAGAATTTAAAAAGTTACTCACTGGGCTACAATCACAATTTTGATTGTGTCCATGCAGAACCAGGGCTGATGCCGAATGCTTTCTCCAGATCAGTTTGTCAAACAAGTTATTGAGGCCAGGAATCAGTTTGAACTCTGCTATCATTTTATGAACCTGGAAAACAAGAGGAATATATACTCATTTGCTGCAGTCTGAAACAGGGATGCAATGTAGTCTGGTAAACAGATTGGCACAATTACACCATCCTCTGACAACAGAAAGAATGAATTATTTTGTCAAACAGCATGTGTTTGGGCTAACATGCACACTAACCGTGGTGTATCCTTAGTTTCCATTTGGTGGACATGGAGAGAAAACAGACATTTTGGGAAAGCTTTTCACTGTTCCTCTGGAAGCAGCTTTGGACATTAGGAGATCACTTACAGCACACTGAAAACAAATCTATACCCAACTCCTACGTATCACAAAACTAAGCTGCCAATATTCTGCTGCCGGATATCCACGGCACATCCTTTGCCTTTCCAGCTCACACAGCTCGAGCTGAGGCAATCCTCCGAAGACAACACAAACTATCGATACTGTTTTTGTTCGAGTGACCTAGGCAGGACTTTGAGCAAAGCACAGTCCAGCAGCAACACAACCACACTGTGGTTCAAGCGCTGCTCCTTCAGGTTAAGGAGAAGCTGAGCTTCTTTAGAGAATGCTCAGAAGAGAAGAAAATGCCAAATCACTCAGGTTAATTTATCAGTCTGCCTGCCAAGCTAGGACACAGTACACATGATGTGTCTGACAGACTACAGAGTTACTCATGTAAAAAAGCTAATAATTTTGGTATGAGCAGCTGTTAAATACTTTCAGTCCAAGCTTTGATACTTTTGAGGCAGGCAGTTTGGAAGCTGAGGAACAGGAGAAGTACCAAGTGGGACTCTCATCAGCTGTAGGCCTATGACAAGGAGTATCCCTTGAGACGTGGTGCAAATGAAAACCACGCATGACTGGGAAGCCCACCACGCTGTAAAAGTTAAGTGCCCAAAGCAGTAATGGGCACGCTTCTTAAAATCAAGTCACCTAAACAACAACGTAGGTCATCCCCGAGATGAGAATTATAACCAGCAGTATTTCAAGCAGTCACTCCATTTTGTTCTATTTCCTCAAATACCTGAATGAATCAAAAATATTGGAAGCTGATGGTATTTTACAGGTTTTCATTCTTACTCTTGTTTGCAGCACAGCTGGTGGCCTTTTGCATTCCTCCTGGCTGTAGCCATCAACTTCTCCATCTACATGGAAAATGCAATCCTGCTGCTGGGTGAATGTTGCTATCACACCTGAGGAAGCACGCAGCTCCTTCCCACCTCACCCACACCACCCCAACAGATGGCAAACCCTGGAGTCCTGCGGTGCTCCCTTACTTTAAAACGCTCCTGGACGCTTTGATCTAGTCACGAGCCTCCCACAAGAAGAGCTCTGAGGAAGCTCTCCCAACAAAGCACTCCCTGTCATCGCCGTCCCTCACTGGCCAGCATGGCACACGCACAACAGGGTGAAGCCAAGCGTGCAAGCCGCCTGCAAGCGCCTCGGCCCCTCGCTAAAGGAGGAGCTCTCTGTGCTCCTTGTTTTAACTCGTGAATCTGCTCCTCTCCACACAGAGCATAATCTGCTTATTCCAAATGACTCACTCCTAATTTCAAAGGTGTTCAGTTTACTTTTAGTTTCCTTAACTCTCAGTTCTCACCTGATGGACGGCTGCATAACAAAGCTCCCGAGTCACAGTCGCTGCCTTTGGATCACACGCTCTCCCAGACTCAAAACTCATTACGACTCTACTCATCCTGGGGATGCCAAGACAATCCCTGCTCTATATTCATCCTTCAAACTACTTTGACTTTTTCCTGTTGCTGCCCAGCTTCACATGAATCGCTCTATTGCTTTCTCACTATTAAAACTATTATGAGCTTCTGCTGTGTGCAGTTTGGCTGCTTACAGTAGGAGCAAGTAACTCAGCTGATTGCCTTTCACCACAATACAGACATGCAAGACAGCCTAGAAAAACATATAAGGAGAGTAATTTAGGGTGTGACTGTAATGAGAAGGAAGCAAAGGCACAGATCTGCAGTGAAACACCACTCATCCCCAAGGGTATGATCATCCCCAACATGGCAGCAGGAGCCAAGTCACTGCCAGCACAGTTGGCAGTTTATGCAAGTTACCCAGCAGTCAAGTTTAAACCAAGGATTTAGACTAAACATTCAGCAACAGGTTGAGTTTGTCAGAAAGCTGCAGCATGCTTCAAGCAAATGCCAGACCATTATGTTGATTATTGCTGTGGACTGAAGCAGGTTTGTGATGCCCTTCAGAAATTCCATGCAAAATTATTCCAATATAAAACCAGTAAGATCTCTGGCTGCTCAGACTGGAAGACAGATATCACAGATAGAATCATAGAATCATTTAGGTTGGAAAAGACCTTTAAGATCATCAAGTCCAACTGTTAACCCAGCACCGCCAAGTCCACCACTAAACCATGTCCCTAAGTGCCACATCTACACCACTTCTAAATACCTCCAGGGATGGAGACTCAACCGAAGTTTTTCCTAATATCCAATCTAAACCTCCTCCGGTGCAACTTGAGGCCGTTTCCTCTCATCCTATCTCTTGTTACTCAGGAGAAGAGACCAACCCCCACCTCACTGCACCCTCCTTTCAGCTGTAGAGAGCGATAAGGTCTCCCCTCAGCCTCCTCTTCTCCAGACTAAATCATCCCAGTTCCCTCAGCCGCTCCTCATAAGACCTGTGCTCCAGACCCTTCACCAGCTTCGTTGCCCTTCTCTGGACACGCTCCAGCACCTCAGTGTCTGTCTTGTAATGGGGGCCCCACACTGAACACATTCTTTGTGTGCTTTCGTCCCCTCATAGCAAAAGAGATACCATCAAGCAGCTGAAATCCTGGTCAGGGAGAGCGCTACCGCAGACACTGCCATTCTCTGCTTATTGGAGCTTTCCATGTAGAACAGGTCAGCTCCAGTTCTTAATGTGACTGCCTCTCAGGAAGGGGAATGGATTCACATCCGCCACACAAGTCTTTGAAAACTTTATGTAGATTAAGGAATGAGGGATGTATCACACGTTTCAAAGGATTTTACAAAACGAGCTGGCTCTGGACAAGAAGTGTTTGGGAATGAAGTAACTCAAATCTTTCAAGAATTCAATTCCAGTCCTGAATCAGCCCTGGAGAAGTGAAGCGCGTGCCAGCTTTATCTTAGACTGTCTCCTTGTTTGCATGGGGGCTGAAATAGCAGAGGAAGAATAAAGAGTTGTTTTCCCAGGAAATTAGAAAAAAAGTCAGCTTCAAAGCTAGCTATTTCAGAGGCATACTTTCTCCCTTGTCACATTTCACAGAACAGACTAGAACTGACCCGGGGAGGTGAGGAAGCCAGCACCTCCAGCTCCCTCAACAGGCAGCCGCAGGATGAGTGCAAGCTGCAAGTAGTTTCTGCGGTATCTGTAACACGGCATTCTTGTGGTGAAATCAGGCAGGAATGAATTAGCTGACTTGATACAATGGAAAAAAGTCCTCCTAGCAGATCCATGTTCTGGTAGTTCTACTTATGTCTTGGGCTTTTTTTAAATTTTATTTTATGCACCATAGAAACTACTTCTAAAAGGAACGACAACAGGAGCATGAGCTGCTTATGTTAGTGATCGTGGTTTCTGCAAGAATTGCTAGTTTCCTCTGGTTACTATTATACAGAATCTATTTCTTTTTAATGCTGAGTATCCATTTGTAGGTTCAGGACTGTACTACAAATGGACTTCTAATTAAAATTCTGATTATTAATCTGATTAAGATTCTGATTTAGGAGACTGCCTGTGGCGATTATCTGTGACTCCTATACAGTGGGATGTTACTAGCAAAGAACAAAATACTCAAGATAAATGTGCTCAAGCAACAGCCCCCCAACACAGCTACTCTTGCCTAATACAACAACTCAAAACAATTTGATCCTCCCAGTCTCTAGGGCATCTGAATGCCCCCACTATTCCAAGCTGCTCTGCTGAGCTGAGCAGACTGCCAATGCTGGAAACCTGTCAAAACTGCACCAACAGATTGTTTTTCTTCTCCCTTCACAATATGCCTGTGACCCGTTTAAATCAAACTACGGCCAAGCTGCAGTGACTGATTCTCCATAAGCCTATGTGAGGGAGGGAGCAAATTACTGTTCATTTCTAAAGCAAGAAATGCAGAAGGAACAGACAAGGTTCTAGGCAGCGCCTAATACAGACAGCACCAAAGCGCATCCTCCCAGCTGAGAGTTTAACAACACACTCGCACCTGGCTGAGACATGAGAACCTACTGCAAAAATCACCCACTCACAAATCACACCTCATTTCCAAACAAGAGGATTTCCAAACGTGAAAGCAGCGAAAGAAGGGGAAGGCCTGAAGGGGCTCCATCTAAGCAGGTCACCAGTGCACCAGGAGGGGGAAGAACACTTGGCTGCAGCTCCTGCAGCATCCAGGTACACCCACGCACTTCCTCACACAGAGACCGACCACCCGCCCCCCTGGCTGGTCAGCCCTGCCGGTGCCTCATTCTGGGTCAGCAATGAAACGCTGCCTGTTTGTGCATTGCTGCAGCAATGGGATTTGCCCAGCTTTATGCCCTGAGCTTTGCCCTCCCTGTTCCTGCGTCCATGACCTAATTAATGAGCACTTTGGTTTAAAGAGACCTCACCTTCTGCACGCGTGACCGCTTACAAGGGCTCACCTGGTTCCTTTGTCTCCCCATGAGCAGCACACAGAGAACATACAGCACCTCCAGCTTATACATGATCTCGTGCATGATCTTCATGGACTGGGGAAGCTGCGTTCGCGTTGAGGTGTTGGCCAATCCACTTTCATCCGAAGACTCTGAACAAGATGGCAAAGATGTGAGTCTGAGGCAGCTTCAACAGGAAAGGGTTTGTTACAGTTATTACTTTTACACTGAAACACTGCAGTTATAAGACCAGCATGTCTGCTTGAATCCTCTTCTCAACTAAAAATAGTGACATACAACAAATGACCAACTTAAAATAAATGCTACAGAAGAGAAAAAAATACCCCTGGAAGTTTAGAGGAGATAAAATTAGATTTTAAAAAATTATTTATTTTCTCCATAATAACCTAAATGGCATCACCTACCTAAAATAAGTAGGATCACATGTATGAATTAATAGACTACTGCACCAGAAAGGATAATAAAAGTAGGGGTGAGATTATCAGAAACATTTACTATTAGTCTACTTTCATTTCATACCTTAGTACCAGTGCACTTAGGCCACAGCTACATCACTTTCATATATCTAGAATTATAATGCTAAGGGCAGAAATGGGATCTAACACGCCATGACTGCAAGTGGAAAACATGACAGAAATCGTAAGTGACACAGAGAAAGTAAACAAGGACACAGTGGAACTTGTAGGTTGCAGTTCAGAAGGGAGTTCGCTCTTTACCCAACACATAACTCAGCGATGAACTGCCCTGCCACAGCACAGCGCGAGTGGTTTTTGAACCCACGTGAAGAAACAGTAACTAGGCAAAGGAAGGAAACCATCAAAGGCTAAAAAGCAGAGACACCACCTCTGACTCAGAAGTCCCCAAGCCACTGGTGACTGAGGCAGTATCCTGGGAAAGCACATCTAGGTTTGCTTGCTAATTGAGGTTGTGGGTCAAGAGCCGTGACTGGGCATGTTCCACCTCGGCAAAATTGCCTTGTGAATTACGTTCCAAAACACCAAGTGTTCTCCAGCTTCCACCAAGTTGGTGTGTATAAAGGGTATGTGTGAGATGCTGTTGGAGCATTCCCGTATTTCATCTTTTGTGTATTTTCAGAAGTTTTAGTGACTAATTGCTACAAAACTAATGAAGCTGGATCAGGAAGAAAAGTTTCCCAAAGAAGCACAGAAGCAAAGATTTCGGTATTGACATTTTGGGATAATTCTCATTACCAAGTACTTTCAGTTCTATAAGACATATATTGCATTTTTGTAATATTGAAGGGTGAAGAAACAAACCATTCACTGGGCTTCAAAGCATCTTCCTAAGGATGTATTAACACTGCCGTACCCTCACCTGGAACAATCATTTTTTTCCAATTAACTTATTTAATCTTGCTGGAACTACCTTTCCTTTTTAAAGGGACCACTTGCATGGTACAAAATATTTGGACCTAAAGCAATCAGTCTAAGTTTTAGAGCAAAATGCTGATAAAGTCCCTTATCTCCGATGTACGGAGATTAGTGCTGAGGATGTACGGCGTCACACTCATCCAGGTGTGCAAAGGGCACAGTTTGCCATAGGCCACTTCATTTTACTAACTTTAGTTCATGAAAAAAAATTAGCACTACATGAGAACAAAACGGGAGTCAGACCTAAATGCTGACACGTCGGTCTTTCATGCAAGAAAAGGGGAATCAACACCAGCTGAAAGGAAAAGCAACCCACGGCAAACACCAAAGCTAACGGTGGCGAGAGGAACGCAAGCCAGATACCTGTACTGCTCTGCTCTGCCTCTTCATTCGCCACTCTCATCAGTGCATCAAGTACAAGAGCGTTGTCCAGCCAGGTGTACCACTCTTCCAACTCCTGGAGGAAGCTGGAAGTACCCGTTGTTTCAGACACCTTCCGCGTTGCCAGTTTGCACAATCGCTCAATGAAGCCTGGGATATTCAGAAGTGTAGCTGAAAAAGAAAAATAATTTTATTGTGATTTAAGATCACCAACACAACAGTCACCAAAGCCTCTCTACCACAAGGTAGCATAACATCTACATTAGTAATACAGAAGCATACACAGAAACTAACTCCATCTGGTTAAAAAGATCCAAAGATGGAAGAAGTTTGTGCACGCTCCTATTAAGGACTGGAGGAGAGTGTACATACCGTAGGCATAATTCAGTGTTAAACTGGTTTGTGTTGGACTTACACTGGAAAAAAATGAGTTCTACCCTACTCTAACTGCTTGTTTCCAGCCAATTCCCTTTTTGCTGGCCCTGCTGTTTTCCAGTCCACAGTGAGTCAGTATCTGATCTGGCTGAAAATTAAGCTGGCAGAAATAAACCAGCTCCACCTCCCCTTTCCTCTGTGCGATGCTACCTCCTTCATTTCACCTCCTGTGGGGTTTGTCTCTCAGCAAATTGAACTAGCTCACCTCAGCAGCTGGGCGGAAAGCTGTCAGCTTTTTAAGTACTAGTTTCCTGAATTAGTTCACCATGGAGCAAACCAGATGGGGAACACATGACAGCAGCCCCAAGTTTGAGGGTTTTAATTGTTGCTAGAAACAGCAGTTCCAAGGACAGAAGTCACTGGTCTGCAAAATGCTTGGGGGGCTTGGGGAGCTGCTAGGAGCCGCATTTTGTCCTGAAGTTTCCACAGGACCTGTTTACTATGGATACATGGCTAAGTCTTCACTTGACTACACACTTGCAGATGCGAGTGGAAAAGGACAAAGAATTCGGCCATGAACACTAGGTGAAATTGTTGCAAGACTCTGCCCGTTGGTACCATCTCTGAAAGAATAAGCTCCCTGATAAAATTTTTAAAATGGAATATGCTTTACCATCTCAGATACAGTCTCTAACTGTGCAAACAAAAAATGGTTAGTCAAACATTCGCTTGGCTAAGTTTAGCTCTGCAGGATCCAAGCTTATTCAGTTCAATTTAAACTAAACTTTGTACCCACACCTACAGATACTTGTCCGTTGCTCTTTCCAAGCAAGCTCTGGCAATCCACAGGGCAGAAGACAATACGCCCCCTTTAAAGTTTCTCATATTCTGCCTGCTGTTTTACACTATTCCTCTCTCCCTGGATGTTGTAGAGGTGGCAGTAGTTACAAACGGAGCTTTGCTGTTCATGGATGACAATGTTAGAAGACGGGAGAACCAGCTCCAAAACCCTTTCTGCACTTCCCAAACTAGCTTGCCATTGGCCCGTGCAAATATCTGCTTCAGGAGCCCAAAAGCTTTTCAGTATAGTAAGAGCTGAAAACAGCAGATCCAACATTTGAGGGTACTTGAATTTAAATCTCTTAAATGCACACTCATCCTTCCAGGCAAGACTTTTGCATCGGAGAAGTACTCAGCAAAATAAGGAAGCCTGCACTGTGCCCGAAGTTAAAGTGGAGATTAGACCCACAGATTTCCAAGGCTGGTGTGGCCACGGTGGGCAACATGATTAATATTAAACACAATTTCCTTGTTGATAAAGAAAGATCTCCTGCTCAGGACAATGCCAGATAAAATCGGAGAAGTAACTGCTCCGACAGCAACCACACTGCATGCACTTTTAGTTCAGGCATTCGTATTTTAAGGAGGACATAGAATTACTGAGAGTTGCTAAAGGGAAGGCCATGCAAGTGACTGAAGGACAGAGGAAAAAAAAACCCAATTATTTTACGCCACTCCCTTCAGAGGGTGAAATGACAGAAGTTAACTCATCTAACTACCAACACCACACAAAACTGAAAGCTAAAAAGTAAGGTTCATTAACAGAAAAGATTGTTTCCAGGAAACTGCTTTAAGAAAGTGAAAAAAGAAAAACGCTTTGTAAGACAGCATGCTTACAGTATCCTCTAGAAACATACACTACAGATGTGACATTGAGAAGAGGGCAACTACACACTGTTGATTCTTCTGCCTTTGTTCACAACGTAACAATTACCTTGATTAATTTCAGCTCGAGAAGGACCCAAGTTTTTTTTCTGCTGGGCATTTTTGGCAAGAAGCGTGTGCTTGTCGTCACTTCCTGTGTCAAGTTCAGAAATTGTGACAGCAAGGATCCTGCAGAAGTTTGCAAGCTGCTGCTGATCAAAACTGGACACAAGGCTCGCAAGATTGGGAATATCATCCAGTTGTATCATTTCCTGGAGGAGGCAACATCAACTGAGTAAGTCGCAGGTGATGTTCAACAAGCCAACACAGACACAGCCAGAAGGCTTCAGCTACAGCTCTTCCCTGGGCAGATCTGGGTGTTCTTTCAACAGTAGTAAAAGAGAAGCAAGCAGGCAGTGACAAGTGAAGAGCCTGAAAACAGCTGTGATTTACAATTGGTGTCACTTAGTTTATCAATTCCAAAAGTACAGGTAACCATATTTTAAAGTATTTACATAAAATTTAGTGGCCTTTTTTAAATTAAAAAAACCCAACAAAAACCCCCACCACAACCTAATTTAACACAGCAATTGCAGTTCGATATTAGAAAGTTTCAATTTTGTTTTCCATTTCTGTGTTTTCTTTGAAACTCACAGATGAGAACCAACTTCTGGATCATTTTTCTCAGTCTTTTTCATTACGAGATCTTTTTAATCAAAAAGATGTTGAAAACTGTTTTCAGCAAAAAGCATTTTATGTTCAGATACATTAAGCTTGTTTCCTACCCCAAGAAATACATCATTCTCAACCTCACACTAAAAAAGCAGTAACAAAATCCTGACCCTCTCCACAAAACGTACAGATGCATTTCATTCAGGGTTTTCCCAGGATTACACGTCTAGTATTGTATTTGCATCACATCAGGGCACCAAGCTGTAATGATGCTGGCAAGCAAGCTCAAAACCCTAGTTCGTGCAGAAGATCCAAGTGCTCTGTTCCCCCAGCCTACAATTTCTCAGAGAGGTGACAAACCCCAAGGTAAGAGAGAAGCATGGGAAGCCTTCGAGACAGCAGGAAGACTACTAAAATATCTGAAGTGTAATGTGAAGGCAAGGATGAAAAATGAATTTATATGAGGTTCATTTTCTTTATTTGAAATACTAGTTGTACTTTATTGACTGCTAGGTACTCACCCCCCACCATCCTCTGCAAGCTATGCCAAAAGCATCGCGAGTGTGATACCACACGCATAATTTGGCCGCTGTACGAAATGTGACTGAAGTCAATGATCACTGTAAACAGCCAGGTTTCGAATAAGCTACAAGAAGCGAGAATGCTAGCCGAGAGGGTTATCTTCAGCAGCTCTTCAAAGAAACAGTTGTTTTTCCTATACTGGCCTGGAAAGCCTTACAAATAAAATTAAGAAACCAGCAACCAACCTTTTTAACTCCCAGGATATCTTCAATGAGCGTTGCCGTTTGTAGGAATGTCTTTTTGTTTGTCATCAGTGTAAACAGGAACAACACAAAGTCATTTCTTTCTGCCAATCGCCTTGTGACTCCTTCCGTCTAGAAAGCAGTAAGTGCACACACAAATTGAGCGTCAGAGCCCACCCTGAGAAGCCTCACGTTACAGGCACATGCAGGACAGTTTTACAGATGAAGTGTTACCAATTCAGCTATTCCTGAAACCAGGAAACACTGTGCTTATGGTGACCAAACCTAACTCCAGTCCTTGTCTGAACTGAACATGACGCTTCCAAAAACCTACAGACTCCAGGATGAGAAGCTTCATCTCAAGGCAGTTGTTTACTTGCCTGAATCAAAAGTAAACACTGACGCTGGAAATACATCAGAGGGGCTTGTCTCTGGTTTCCCACACAAATCGTGACCAGCTCCACTTTATGGTACATAAATGCAGTCCTCAGATTCCTCCTGAACTGTCAGCGGTGCTCTCAGCCGGGCAGAGTCTGAGCAACCAGAATCAAGCATCGGCCTTAATGAACTCGCTGATGAACCCAAAAGTCTTGCTAAAGCATGAACTCTGGTTCATCACCAAGTTCATTAAGGACAGCTTTCATGCTCTGATCTCTGCTGAGAGCACAGCCAGTCTTTTCTGGAATTAAACGTAACTTAAAACTACGTCCTTACCGCTCGCAAAGCTGTCTATTATGTATGACTGACACATTACCAGTGCTCACAGAACCAGGCTAGCTTAGATACTTCCTGAATATTTACATACAAGCCTAAGAACAGTTAATATCGCACACAGAACACTTCTGTGATGCTGAACACTCCTCATTCAAGAGGGAGCAGTAACACTGAAGTGAATTACACCAGCAGCTAGTCTATAAATTGCAAATTTGTTTCTCGGCGTATTACGCTATTCAGTCTGCAAAAGTTGCAGTACCTATAGTTGAAAAAAATTAAATCATGCAAGTCAAGAAAAAAGTGTTCCCTCTCTTCCCCCTCCCCTGTGTACACAGACACTTTGTAGTGAGCACATGATCTGTTAAGACAAACTCTCAAGATCAGCTTGATGTCTTTGGAATAGCTCCAAGCCAGTACCTGCCTTTTCTCAAATTTTAGTTAAACGATGCTCCCTAGGCTATGAGATAATAAAATGTGTGATTAAGTTCACAATCTGGAGGATGTTCCCTGCATGCACGATCTGAGGCAAGTGCTTTCAGCTTCAGAATTTTAATGGCAAGGTATTTCAATCGGCCTTTACCCCAGCGTCCTCCTCAGCCCTGATCTGCCATCAGCTGAACTAATACTCAGCACAGTATCATTTCCTGGAGGAGGCAACATCAACTGATATTTCAATCGGCCTTTACCCCAGTGTCCTCCTCAGCCCTGATCTGCCATCAACTGAACTAATACTCAGCACATGGAGCTGCGATCAAACTTAGAACACTTTGCCAGCACCATCACTGAACAAGACTAGCTGTGTCTCAGGTTATCAGGCACCCATTTCCAGTTTCAAATTTTAAGTTTGAATACAACAAAGGCTGACATGGCTTTCCTATGGAAACACAGATACAGAAAGATCCAAACAAGAGGATTTAAACTTGACGATGTGGCTAAGAAAACAGAAGTTATTTGAGTAACACATCAAAAAACAGGGTGGTCCTATATTTAACTGAGGGAGTTTTAATGAAAAGTTTCAGGGTAAGTTTAAATTATGCTTGTAAGAGTCTGGTCTGTTCATTGTCTTATCAAGTGGCACATGTAAAACATGATCAGCAGAAGAACACTTTTCCACAGAAGTTGTACTTACACATATACATGTGTTGTACAGTATGCTTAAACAGTCCTTGATGAGGTCATCGCTTACTGCAAAGGAGAAAACAGACATTTACTAGCTATGTGTTGCCAAGGAACACTAATGTCCACAGTAGTGGCATGAATAGCTATAAAATGAGTGAGAATTTCAGGCTAACTGCCAGCTCAGATCATATGTGCAAATGCCTTGGAGGTTAAAAACCAGGGGAAGAAACACTCTACACCTGACCTGATGACGTGCTTTCTTCCAAAGTTACGATCAGCACTGCCTAGGACCACAGACAGAGATGTACTTGTGGTCCAGTGCACTACTTGGTCACACACACGAGAAAGTGACAGGAGCATAAACAGTATTTTAGGAAAAATAATCACAGATCAGCTCAAAACTTGTCCATTTGAGAAACTGTGAGACACATATTAGTTCCAATCATTAAGCACGGGGTGGAGAAAAGGACAGTGCATGCAGCTTTTTCCACGCAGCATCAGGAATTCACAGAAAAGCTTTCAATCTGATTTACTCCAGCATTTTAATATTTAAGATCTGTTTTCAGTACAGACATACAACAGCTGCCTCGAGCTCCAGTTCAAGTTACCTCACCTTTGCAGTTCCCTGGCTGATGGGCATGGAGCGCACCATGACATTTCCTTTCCTCAGAAGGGTTCAGGGAACCAGCAGAATCACAGGCAGGAGAAATGAAAACATTAAACCAAAGCTGCTCCAGCAGGAAAGTTGTGCTGAAGCTGCTGCACCCCATTGGCAAGTTCTCCTTAGAGCATTTTGGAAATTAGTAGTCACTGTGACTAGGGCAGGAAAACTGCGTGCTTTTCATCCTCTCACCATCTCGGTAACTCCTACTACATAAACAATGTTTTGTGGCTTATTATTAATAATTGTTAACTGTAGCTATAGCCACAGTAACAATAAGAGTTCCCAGTGATTGCAGATTTACTGCACCGAGAGAAGTATGTTATGCTGAGCGCGTGAATACTCCTGAGCTGTGCTTTGCAACAGGTGCCCATCCTAAATCCCACCATGAATCAGTACTGCAGGGAACAAAGAAACCAATGATTCATTTAGGAACAGGAAATTGCTGGTACGGAAAGACAGTAACAGAAAAATAGAGTAATTTCTGTCTGAATAAGGATACAAGACAAGAGTGTAAAAAAAAAGATAAAACACCTATTCACTTACTTTTCTGTTTCTTTTTCTGCGTAATAAGAGTTGGTCTCATGAGAATTTCTACTAAAAGCTGTAACAAGAAGATAAAGAATTAAGGGAATAATCACCAAGATACAAATAACCAATTAGTTTGTCAGTGACAAATCCAAACTTAGTCCTGTCTCTGCTGAAGTCAGAGGCAAATAATGGAAGCTCTACAATCAAAACCCCACTGGTGCCAAAATTAAATTGACAAAAAATAGCTGTATTTACCCTGAAGAAATAATAACAGTTGTATAAACAATTTCCCACTGGCAAGTTTTAAAGAATTCGAGTCTGCAAAGAATGTAGTTTCACATGCACCCAGATTACATCAAGAATGGCTATCACACATCTCCCAAAATAATGAATCTTTACCAATAAACTGCAAAGGGATGCAAACTTTGCAAAGGCTTGGGATCCCTAAATCTTGCTGGGCTTTGAAATACATTTCAGGTCCAGACATCACAGAACTTAGTTGCTCCAGATTTTCATCTCACCAAGAAAGAGCAAGCCACTGCTCGTGTACATGCACCTTGTACCTGTACTTACAAATACACTTACAGATATGGGAAGTGTGGTCTCATTTCTATTTAAGGAACATAAAAGTCAGACTAAGACTATGGCTCTGATGGATGTAGAACTGATCTTTTGTTGCTCTAGCCTATATCACTGGTTTATTTAAAAACATTTTAGAAAATAGCAGTTTATTTAAAAATGAGTTAGCCACTAGAAAGAACTGATGACTTCTGCAAGAAGTACTGCAAGAAGCCCCTAGTTTTAAAATTCAGTTTATAATTGTTAAGAGCAATGTAGGCATCACCCAGTCAAGTCATGCCAGCTGACAATATACTTACAACTTGCTCTGTCTATTTGTCCCAACTTAACTTTAACCTTCTTTTAACACACTACCTACCCAGACACAGAGGAAAACATCTGACAGCACTGGAGGCACTGCCCACATTCTAAGCACTGACAAATAAATAAATAGGCAACTTTAAAGAGGAATATATATTTTCCAGCAGTATCTGTAATAGAGGCTGCACATCACTAGGGTAGAGAAAAATGACTGCAGCAGTAATGAAGTGCTCTTATTAATGGCTTACATTTTAGGAGAAGAATGCACACCTCAAGGCTTGGTAAGCATCCAAAGATATCCCTGTGCACCTGGGATGCAGGCTGCCTGATCTCCTCCTGGGAAAGAACGTCTACTGCAACAAGGCTGGCTTTTAAGGGTGGCTGCAGCCAGGCTCGCTCCTGCCTTGCCACAGAGTGCACCTTTTCAGCTCGTATTTATTTTTCCTGGTCAGTACTATAACCCACCATATATTTATCACCTTATTCTTGCAGAACTGGTATGCTCCTCACATACACTCCAGGGACTGGACTGCAGTGGTGTGAGACACTCCTTGGAGAGGGCTTTCTTCAGCCATCCTACTGAAACTGCAACAGTATGCAGCAAGAAGCACAAGAGTCCAATGGCAGAAAGAGAATAGGTAGGAGAGTGCCTCACCAGAGGCAGAGGAGCAGAAAGGGAGTTATGAGATCTTATTTCTTGGAATGGGGTTGCATTCCGGTCCGAAGTCCATAGGCTCATGTATCAGTTCATGTGTTTGTACTCTCAGGTAATATTTTACATGTATTCATAGAAAGGGAGGAGACACAAATTGTGCTTTTGTTCTTCCTTGATGTAAAGGCTGTCAGAATCCAAAAATATTTTAAGGAATGCACTAGCACACATTATAGCATACAGAGTACACTGAACATTTCCTGTCCTTCAAAGTTACTCATGGTTCACAGTTCAAATACTGCAACACAGAATCAGCATATGGCATACACAGAACCAGCAAATTAGACTACTTCCCTTTCAAGTCCTAGAGTAGATTTTCGAAAACACATAGCACTGGCTTCTACCTCTGCCTTTAACCACATTGAACCCACTTGTATCAGCCAAATCTCTGGCCATAGTACCAAGGAATTACAGTGTATCTGGTATCTACCACCTTCAGCCCAAGAAAAAACAAACAAACAAACAAACAAAAAAACAACCAACAAAAACCTACTGAACACCACCCCCCCACCACACACACTTGTTTTGTGCATTCTTATGTCAAAAGCACTTCTACAGGAAGTATCACTATTTCCCTTCAAAAACAAGGGAAATTTAGGACATTTTCATACAATGTTCTAAATTGCTTGGGTAGCTGAAGACTTTTGTCCTCAGTTGACAGCATACCAGCAACTAAACCAGTACTAATTTCAAAACAACATAACCTAAATACAAGTTTTACTTAAGTAAAGGCATGTAACAAGAGAGAAGTAGCAAAGACACTGTTCAGTTAGACCAAAAAAAAAAAAAAGGCAAGAAAGTGTCAATTAGTTCACTGGAAAATACAAATCATACATTTCTAATGAAAGCTAAGATCCCGGAGTATGTCACCAAAAAACTGAGCAAACTTTGTGTAATGTAGAATCAAAACAAATAAACAAAAAGATAATTTGCCAGAATGTCTGCAGAAACCTTGCAGTTCTGTTTAAAAACATTTCCAGAGATGAAGCAGTCCCCGTTGCACGCCAGCAATAAACACAGCCAGCCTGGCTAAAAGAGTGACCGAGTGTGCTCAAAAACCCACCACACATCATCCTTCAGTGGTAAGTGGAATTCTTGGTGCTCCAGTATCAACTGCAGTATTAATCTCACAACTAGAAATCATTTGAAACTGTTTTCATTGAGAATCTAGAGGTTCTATCTTTTTTAAGTTAAAAACAGAGTGCCTGAAGAAACAGCCAGGTCTTCATATAAGAAATAGCACCTCAATTTCGATGATGTAATACCTCGGAAAACACACCGCTTTCACATTTTGATTAACAGAAACAGGCACAATTCTAATGCTTAACATCAAATTCGTAAAGAAATTCTGTAGTTTGCATTTAGAAGCTTCAAAGCGCTCAGACCTCATTCAGAGATTTCTCAGTGGTATGACTACTGTGCAGAAATCTTTCGATAGTGTTGAAAAAACACACTTACATCGACTCCTCCAAATAAGTCAAATGTGTATGTATTTGGGAAAGTGGACTCTTGAGCAGCTTTTCTATCTTCTGTAACAAATGCCATGGCTTCCATTGAAAGAAGTGGAGAAATTTCCTGCATGCAGTAGAAAAAAACCCAACAAATGGTTCAAAAAGAAAACTTCTCAGTATAAACAGAATCGTCTCTGACTATCTGTGTGATCTACTGACTAATCAATTACATGCATTCCCAGCTCTTATCTACCAGCCAATTCACAGATACTATCATGCAAACAGTTTCAAAAATCAGTTAGAATATGATCACAGTAGACTTTAAAGCAAGCAACCACAAAATAACCCCCAGCTTTCAGGAAGAACGGTGTAGACAGTACCTTTAAGATGCTTTGGCACTGGGAGAAATCACTGTTTGGGTGGCTCTGTTCATACAGCTTTTGCAACAGTAAGGGAATTCCATTCCATTTTGCTTGTTTATCCCTTTCCTTTAACAAGGCCTCTGTGATCTGCGAAGGAAGAATATAATTACCGTGTGCCCAATGCTTCGTAACCAGGAAAACAACCTTATCACCTCCCCAGTCTAACAGCAGCAGAGCACCACAGGAAAAGAGTTTACTGTGGAGAGTACCGTTACAAAATCCAGTACCTCTTTCCACACAGCAATTTATCCAGGACTGGTAGCTGCAGAATTTTACAGATGGTCAAAGTACCTTAAACAGGACAGGGCTTAAAGCAGATGTTATCATTTGGTGTATACTTACTCTCATCTGTATTTTGATACTGATCACATATTTAAAATGGGAACACATTAGTCTCTAAATAATTCCAGAACTCCAACTGACAGGTCACTGAATAAGGAAATGGGTGCCCTTGACCCTATCAAAAATTACACTAGTCTAAAGAAGACAGAACACTGAAGATGGAAAGGCTTCATTACTCGTTACATTCAGCTATTACTGAGCATTTCCTCAGCCAAGTCCCTGAAGCCATTACTGGTCATCGCTATGACCAAAGCACTACGATTTACAAGCAGGCTCCAGAAGAATGTATCAAAGATACAGTGAAAATTTCCTCTGTAGTCTCGGGCTGGTTATAAAGTGGAGACCAACAACTAAGTCGGTAGAACAACACTGGCATTATCCTCTGGGAAGCAGCCTGCAACCCCAAAAGAGAACACCTCAGCATTTGCTACTACATTTGTGCAAACTTTCTGCAATCTTCCTCCTTCTCCACAAAATATATATGATAAAATTCTCAATATTCACCACTATATTTTACACTTAAAAAAAAGAAAGTAGCAGCAGCACAAGACTGGGTAGCAGCACAATATTCTGCTTGGAATCCACAGAAGATATTTTGAAGGCTGAACATTTCCAGGTTACTGCCAGCAGATGCTGTAAAGGAGGAGCTCTTCATTAATTCACCACCCTGTCAATGCGGACCTAAATTTAACTCCCTTCCTTAATGATACTTCAGAGTTACCTAGACCAACACCAATATAGGCACTTACCCTGGGACAGAAAGGTAAGGTAGACAGCAATAATTAGAGCTAGCAGGATTTCTGGCTGGTTTTACAGAATTTTTACATGCCCTCCAAATACAACACCAAATAAAGAAAACGCCAGTCCTCAGGTCAGCAAGACTGCATCTCAATGCGACGGCTGTGGATTTTCTCTTACTCCTAGGCCAAAAACCTCTAAGCTGCACATTCAGCATAAGTTTCTCCCCCAACCCTTCTGCGGTTAACTTGCATTGTTTCCCTCCAGCCTGCTTAAAACGTTCATTGTTAATAGTTAACAGCCAGGAAATTTTGCTTCTTATTGTTTCAGCCAAGACATCCTTCTCAGATATACCTCAGTGTACAATTCCAAAGGACCATTCAATTCAACTTCTGACTGAGAATTTAACTCTTTTCTCTGCTTGTTAGACAGCATACAGGAAGACCAGAAAACAGATGCAAGCACATGAAAACTCAGACTGGCAATGTGAGCTGCTGCAGGTCCTCACCCTTCCAAGCTTCCCAGATACTCAGGGTTCTTTTCCTG